AATAAAGAACAGAAAATAAGGAAGGACATGGAAACTTTTTTTTTTGTACATTTATTTTGGGGGGACAATAAGGACAGCCCGGTGCACTAAGCTCCGGGAAAGGGCCGGACCTTTGGGGGAGACAATGGCAGATCTTTATACGTTGCCACTTCTAGGTGCTCAAGCCCCAATTAATTTTGGACCCAAACACTATTTATTCTAGAGGAAACTAGTAATACATACAAATATTACTAGTGGGTCTGTCACTGATTCTAAAAGCATATGAGCACCCGTGATTCTAAAATTTATGGGTCCATTACTAAGGAGACGGTGGTAGTATAAGCGGAAGGAATAGAACCTAAGTAATATACATGTAAGATTTACTCACTTATGATGAGAAGGTGACATGCTAGTGAAAAATACTCTGTTTTTCTTTGGATCCATATTCCTCTTCACCCATCTCAACATACTCTTCATTGCCAAGCGATATGCATCCTCTGTGGACACTTGTATCATATCTTTCACATCATCCTTGAAAGACCCGTTTTGCCTGTATCAATTAAACACTGGACATGAATAGGATTTTTTTTCAATATCAACCCCTATATGAACACCTAAAAGGAAAAAGCGAGCCCAAGAAATTACAAAATCTTGAATGGCATGCCGGTCATCCACCAAAGATAAGTGTTGAACACAATTATGTCAGCCCCTTTCCAATTTTTACCGTGCTTATTTATTGAACCTTTACGGACAATTCTATCAGTAATCCTATGTATGACTGCATCATCGGCATTTGATTCTAGCAGAAATGGTGCCCAGTAATACTCAATTTTTGCATTGTAATCCTGCAAGATTAATTAATCAGATCAATATATATATATATATATATATATATATCCACGGAATTCATGTGTAAGTTCAACGTGCTTGTAATTTGTAAACACCTTTGCAGTGAAAACAGTGAGGGAACCAAAAGTTTCCATGGATTTGGCATTCTGGGGAATAATTCTTTGGAGAAGGCAAACCATGGAAACAAATTGTCCTCTGTTCAAGGAATCGCCAACGAATAACATCCTCTTCCCTCGAAGGCTTTCCAGCACTAATGTTGCATTGAAACTGCCATTTGCACAATAATTAAAGATGTCAAGAAAGGGCCATGTCACCAAAATATTAGTGACGCTCAGCCATTTTTACAATGATTTTATGGAAACAATAGAATTTAGCATTTACAAAAGTTATTAGTAGGGAAAATGTCTGTAAAATTTTGGTCCATTCATAACCTTGATGTTAGCAAATCACCTCCTATTTCCCTTTACCATTAGCGGGCTTCCGATGTGAAATGGGTGGTGGCTATAAGTCCAAATTATGCGAGAAAAAGAAGTCCAAATTTACTCAACTTTTGATTATCGTTTAAAATTACTCTTGTGTTGAAGCTCCTTAATTGCGCGATCAATGACAAGAAAGAGAACATGTCCTAATGGCGGGGTATATAAATAATGGACAAATAATTTAATAAAGGGAGAAGTTGCTCAATTTGAAAGAGGAAAGAAGCGAATTTAACCCTTCTCCCTGATTAGTATTAAGATTTACGAAATTAGAAAATTAAAGAGTTAAAAGAATATAATGAAGATCTCGTAAAGGCCGAATTTGATCAGAGCTACTGCTTAGAATGGGCACCGCCCAGGTCTAGGAACAAGACCAACAATGAACAATGAGTCAATGGTACAACGTTTTGGCAATTGCAGATAGAGCG